CAACCCCCCCCCCCCTCAAGTGACAAATATTATTCCGAGCGAGTTCAAGAAAGATTGGACGGAGAAATATTCGTCTTCCTCCTTTACCTAATCTTAGAATGACAGGGGATTGATACAAAAGGATCCTCCCATATCTGCGTTGTAGTCAGAGGCTCCTAGATGAATAGAGAAAGCTTAGCCCTTGCGTAGGCACCTTGTAAGTAGGGAGAAAAGAGCATAAGAGAGCAATAAGAATGTTCCTGCAATCTTAATCTTTTGAATAATTCCTTTCCCAAGAGTGGAACGTTACTGACAAGAAAGATTAGGCCTGTATTGAGCAGACTCCTAGCACCTCCTTTTACTGTTCTTTTCTTTCACTCCAAAATTACAAATTCATCTGAGTTTGAAGGAGTAGGAACTTTGTAACTAGCGGAGAAAAGAGCATTAGAGAGCAATAAAGAATGCTCCAACAATCTTAAATTTTTGAGTTAATTTCTTTTCCAAGAGCAGAACGGTATTGGCAAGAAAGACTAGGTCTGTCTCAAGCAGATTCCTAGCACCTCCTTGTTTTTTGACTGTTCTTTTTTTCACTCCTAAATTACAAAATAATCCGGGTTTGTTCGCTTGCCAATTGGACTTAAGAACAGTTCAATCGGGAAACTCGTGAATCCATCAAGCTCTATTGACAATGTACGCCAAAACAGTTTAATTGATAAAAACAGTCCTGCACTACATTTTAACTTCCCAAATTCTGCGTATGAAGACATACAGTATGAGTATTCCCGCTGTATTTGGACCTGATTTTATCTAGCGATGTATTGATAAAAATGAACTTGTAACTTGTTTTATCAATGTCAGATAAAGAATTGTCCACCGGATCCCATGACATTCTTGATTCTCATTTGAAGACTATTCTAGAGAGTGTGAAGTTAATCTATCTTTTGGAAAGGGAAGGGGGCTGGGATACAGTCCAGAACTGGGAAGACATTTTATCCCTTGGAGAACAACAGCGATTGGGAATGGTGAGCCATAAAGCTGTTAATGAGTAGATACGGACTCACATAAAAATATTTTGCAGATTATTTGTGTTCATTATAAGTTGATGAGTTTTCTTTGGTACTCATTCAAGGCACGCTTATTCTTTCACAAGCCACAATTTGGAATACTCGATGAATGCACCAAGTAAGCAAACAACTTTTATCTTATTCATTTGCTGAAAATCAAGGGACTAGAAGTGTAAAAGGCAAAAGCATCTCAATTATAACAGTTGAGAGACTAAATTTACAAAAAGATGACAATCAAGTCCAGATACATAGGCTGCATTTGGCTAGCCTTATCTGACTTATTCTGCTTGTTTTGCTCCGAATAAGTAGCTGTTGTCTTACTTATTTGGCTACAATAGTAGTTACCAAACAGTTTCTCATTTAGAAAAGGCTAAAATCCACAATTAGTCCTTCAACTTTATGAGTTGTGCACGATTAGTCCTTCAAGTTTCAAAAGTTCATGAATAGTCCTTCAACTTTATGAGTTGTTCATGATTGGTCTTTCAAGTTTCAAAAGTCCATAAGTGGTCCTGCAAGTACACGTCAGCCCTCTAGATGAGGTCCTTTTGACAGTAAACATTAAAAGCTAAATGGAATACTAGTTCCATAAAATACGAGTAAATTCCAATAGGTACGACTACTCTGTATTATATGGATGGAGCTAGTATTCCATTTAACTTTTAACGTTTACCGTCAAAAGGACATCATCTGGAGGGCTGACTTTTGAAACTTGAAAGACCAATCATGCATAACTCATAAAGTTGAAGGACTATTTATGGACGTTTGAGACTTGAAGGACCAATCGTACCCAACTCATAAAGTTGCAGGACCAATCGTGCACAACTCATAAAGTTGAAGGACCAATAATGAAGTTTAGCCTTTAGAAAAAAATCAGTACATTCAATAATTTCAGTCAAATAATCCTTAACAAACAGGCATATAACGTTGGGCAATCTAGTGACTAATGGCATGATTTCTCTTTCTTTCTTGTTTCTCATATGGCAGTGCCACAAGCGTAGATGTAGAGGAGCACCTTTATAGACTTGCAAAGGACAGTGGCATCACAGTTGTTACATCTTCACAGGTAAAACCTAAATTCTTACTCCAATTAAATTTACCATCTCACATTTCTTGTTTATTACCAATGTGTAGCTGAGATGAATTTTCTTTTCCTTGTTCAGCGCCCCGCTTTGATACCCTTCCATTCTTCAGAGTTGCGATTGATTGATGGAGAGGGCAAGTGGGAACTCCGTTCTATCGAGCAGTAAGTTGTGCGTCCCTCACATATACACCCCTCTGTTCACACTCTTAGCGTTAACTCATTGTTAAAGTAATCAAAACCGCAAAATGGACAGTTGTATGTGAATGGAGGGAGTGTATATGTATAGGTGAGTATGTGGCAAATGTCTACAATAATAAACATGAGCATGGGAATAAGTTCACAATCTACACAGGACAAACGTTGTTAGTGGATATAG